ACACAGAACCACACCTGAGGTGACTGAAAGCCAGCAGTAGCCCTTGGGCCTTGCAATAAAGAAAGCTGGTATTTGGACATTACAAACTCATTCTGCCCTAGAATGAAAATAGGCTGAAAATATAGGCTGTTCACATCCCTGATCCGTATTAACTGAAAATCATCCAATAATACTGGACTAGACAGTGCTCTGGAAATCTTTGATAAAACAGGGAAGACCTGATGGATGCAAGCAATTTTATCTTCAAAATGTCAAGCAAACAGATCAGTGGGCTGTTACAGGTTCAACCACTTCCTTTGAGTCAGTGCATAAGATGCCTCTACAGGAGGTTCAATACCCAGGGATGGGGCCAGAAAAGCTATGGAATTTTGCAGATACCAGCCTCTTCTCTCCTTTCCATCCAGTAAGACATCTTTTTTAAAATCTCTATGAGATTAGCTGAAGTTGCTTTTGCAAGCTTGGGAAACATATGCTCTGGTACATTCTGCAGAGGCTATGAAGGGAAAGGGAAACAAGGAAAAGACTAGAATTTGTGAGTACCCCTCCTGAAGTTGAAGCAGTGACTATGGCTTCAGGATGTGGCTATGGATATGGAAGTCTAAGTCTTCTGAAATCCCTAGGATGCTTTCCAAGGGATCACAGGATTGTACTTTTAAGCTTCCTTTTAGCATGCTTATGATGAAAATTATAACACAGTTACAATTAAATTAGAAAAAAAGTATTTTATTTATGACTTTGATATAGTTTCAAACAGATTTAATTTTTAAAAATCCAACAGCTTTTATTGTAAAATTAATGATTACACAGAATTTTTTCAATGCATACTGCCACCTTGTGACCAAGAGAAGCATCTACAAGGAGTCTAAATCTATTTTCAGCACTGAGATGGTTTATCGTAGGAGAACCTAATATCTCATAAGAATTTTTTTAAAAAATCTTTTACAAGACTCCATACAAAATCAGATTGTTATGCTAAATGAAGCAGTATAAAGTATAATACTGAGTCCAGAATTACTTTCAAACAATGTATCTACTTTCAAGTGATATATTTATATATATATATAGAGAGAGAGAGAGACAGACAGACAGACAGACATGTACACTGGTGCCTCATAGTTCAAATGGCTCTAATGTCAAATGACCTAGAGTTTGAACATTAGAGTTGAGAGAAAATTACTGTGAAGTCTGAACAATGATTCTACATTCAAACTGCAAGTGAAGTGAAAAAATGCGGTTGCAGCATAAACGTCATCTGTTGTGCACCCAAGTCGTCTCTCGCATTTTCAGTGCTTTTTTTGCTTTATTGTTTGGTTATATATGAGGTGTGATCAAAAAATACGGTGAATGTTTAAATTAAAAAAATTAATACAGTAAAAAACACATTGGCATTAATCCCTCTCAAAATACCTTTAGTTGTGCTCTCGTGGCTGTCTCAATGTCCTGAATCGATTCAAAACATTTATCTTTCATGGTCATGTTGACTTTGGGGACGAGCTGGAAGTTGCACAGTGTCAGATCCGGTGAATAAGGTGGATAAGAGCACACCATAATTTTTTTATTTGACAAAAATTGCCATACCAGAAACGATGTGCATTTTGAATCGATTCAGGTCATCGAGGTAGCCAGGACAGTGCACTAAAGACATTCACTAAAGTACAGTAAATGCACTAACATAACATTACTACTTCAAACTTAGTTTGTTTCAGGAGGCTGTATTTGCTGCTTAAGTTTATCAAAATGGGTATTGTTTAGGGTCTGGGAATGGACTGATTTATTTTCCATTATTTCTAATGGGGAAAACTGATTCAGACTTCAAATGATTCAGAGTTCAAACAGCCTCCTGAAATGAATTAATTTTGAAGTACGTGGCACCACTGTATGTTCAGATATAATCCAAGAAAGCAAACAAAATGCTGCTTTCTGGTTTGCATTGGTGAATTAAGAGGGAAATTGTGTGCATTTATCCCATTCACTGGTACAATTTTCTCCTCAGATGCGAGGGATAATGGTCAAGTTCACATGGCGTGACAGCTCATCTTGTGAATAAGCTATACAGTGTGGCCTGTTTGAGGAACAACCTACAGTGCATCTGACAGACAAATGGACTCACTGTGGGTTGTTTTCCCAACTCTGACCTCCAGTCCTATCCCAGTATGCTGCACAACATAACTTGTCTTGTCTCCCTAATCCCTACTCTGACTGTGACCCCTTTTTATTTGTTACAGGGTCTGGGGGTTTTGTTTGTTGTTTTTAACACCAAAAAGCACATTTGGGACCATATGGTTTTGTTTTTGTTTTGCTCCAGAAATATACACCAGTGTCTTTTGAGGGGAGGGGTTGTTTGTTTTTGTCTCTATTTCACAGTTAATCAAGTGCGCTGTTAAAGGCTTTCCAATATATGTGAGCTTGCTAGGTCAATGTCTTTGTCACTTTCAGCTGTCAGATACTAACAAGAATACATAGAAACAGAGCGAGTCAGAAGGGTCTCCCGGGCCATCTAGTCTGACCTCCGGCACAAGCTGGCTCCGCTCAAGACATGCCCACCATGTGCATGTCCAGCCTATCCTTGAACACCCGCACCGATGGGGCCTCAACGACCTCTCGTGGAAGCCCATTCCACACCCTCGGGGTCCTGACTGTCAGGAAGTGCTTCCTGGCATCCAAATGGAACCTTGGCTCCCTGAGCTTTGCTCCGTTGGAGTGCATCCTGCCTTCCTCTGCAGGGGAGAACAGGTCTCTACCCATCTCCATGTGACATCCCCTCACATACCTGTATGTTGCCAACATATCCCCTCTGAGTCTGCTCTCCTCCAGACTGAAGAGACCCAGTTTCCTCAGTCTCGCCTCATACCCCATCCCCTGCAAACCGGCCACCAACCTTGTGGCCCTACGCTGCACTGACTCTAACATTTAATACGTTTAGTTGAAATGGCAAACAGTTGATAGATGTCAGTTGTCTGGCTGTCAACTGGGAAGCAATAGCAAAAGATTTTAAAAAAGCAGAATGGGTATGCCAAAAGCAGTGGGTTCAAGATCTTCCCCTTAGCAATGTAATCCCCTTGATTTCTCCTGCTGAACTGACACTTCTCAGGATGCTCCATCTTTTCAACACTTAAATAAATCTATGGTTGGTGTGGAAAATCTTAAGACCACTCCCATTTGAAGGCTTTTTGGAGCCATTGCTGGGATTCCATGACAAGAGTCAAAAGCCCTGAGAAAGTAGCTCAATGGATGGAGTGAGTGGGGCCACATTGTGGGGGGCACCCTACTTTCTCTGTGCTGTTCTGCCATCTCTATGTGGGGAGGGTTGAATTCGCTGGGGAATCTGCACTTTTTTGACAGAACTATATGTAGATTTCAAGGCTGGAAAGTACCAGACAGAAATATAGAACTTTCCCTCACCTCCACTCCATTTACTTCCCAGCCATGAAATGTGGGTATGTTTTCCAGTCAAATAAAAACCACAAATCTGACAAATGGCCAAAGACCACTGCCATTCTTTTCCTGGAAGAACTTTTGATAAATTGTCATACATGCTTCACTGTTAGACACCCTGAGAGATAGGGCTGCTGTGGACCTATTGACACCACTTACCTTCCCTTAGAGTTGATCGGGGCAAAATGAACTTTTTGTTTGTTCTTTGACTAGGATACTATAGAGTTCAGAATGATACATTTATTGAGGAATGAGCAATCTTCTTCCTGAATTCCACAGATTTTCTATTTTCCTGGATATGATCTGCAGAATGATGGATTTCCACCCACAACTGAAGGTGCTGTATTTTCTTCAGGCTCAGTAAAAGTGGCTGAATGGGCATTTGAGGGGAAATTCTATCCTACTAGAGGGTGGCTGGATCAGAACTTTAACAAGGTCAGATCTCATCTGATGAGCTATCTTTTCCTCTTTGGATCCTAGGGGTTGGCAGACTATTTATTTTTATTTTTTTTAGGGCAGGGGGGTGGTTTTACCTGCTTTGAATCAACCACAGGCACTAAAGAGCCAGTCTTGAGGGAGATGGCTGTCACTGTCGTACTAGACAAGCTATTGCTCCTAATATTGGGGACTGCTGCCTTGAAGAGCTTTCCATAATAATACATGTTAGAAGAAGCTGAGAAGAGCTGTGGGTGGCTTTGTGCAGATGAGGACCAAGGCAGTATGTAAGGGCTGGTTCAGTATGGCCATATCTGCTGCCTTGTGGGTGAGTGACCATGGGTTGATGGTATCTTCCCACCATAGTGGGTGCACTTTTTGAAGAAGGGCTGGAGGCCATGGGTCCATTAGAGGCAGAGAGCAAAGAGAAAATAGAGAGGACAGAAAAAAAGAGGAAGGAAGGACAGAAGGAAAGCTCTGTTCAGTATCACAGAGGGAGACAGAAATTTTCTTTTACTTTAAGGTTTCAGCAATGAGAGCGAACATTTCCAAATGCTGCTAGTCACACTGAGGCAGAAGACAAAAGGAACTGAGAGGTGAGCAAGACCTATAACTGGAACATACACAGACAAGGTTGGCAAGGCTCCTACCCAAAATGCTGTTTAGCCTGCGGCACATAACCTACACATATGAGTCACAGAGACTATGAAGAACTGCAAGTTCAGAATCCAGCCCCCTGTCCCCACCTTAAAAACTGCAGAGATTCAAGTATCATTCCATGCATTCCTATTTGAGTTAATGCTGCACCTTTACCAACTTGTAAAAAAAATACACTGCAGAGTGGCAGCAATTACTTAAATCCTATGGCCACTATTGTTTGTGTGAAAACATGTTATTGGGTAAAACATATACGGCCTTAACCAGATACATCTCTTATCCTGGACAGATGCCTTTTAGAAAGGATGTAAGTGCTGCAGGTGAGCTGTTCCACTAACTAGTGACTTAATAAATCTAATTACTACACAGCAAATGACTGAAGAAGGGGATGCTATCAGTGCCTAATGAATCGCCTCCAGAATGCTCCTAGAGGAGGGCATTCACAGGAAAAAATTGTAATACACAAGACTCACCGAGCGTTGTGCCATCTTCACCCATAATGCACTTCATTGATGCGAATATTTGCTCAAGAACAGGAGGAGGGCATGAGGTAGCATATACTGCACTGTGTGAGTGGACACGAAGGTAATCAATCAGCTCCTGGCAAAATGATAAAGCAGCCTATCAGATTGTGGGCCTTGAGAAAACAGATCAGCAGTAGAAACTGGTTAAGACAAAGAACTTTCTTCAACACTCAAGGGCCAGAATAAGCAGAGGACATCCACTTTCAACATCTTGGAAGTTACAAGAAACATTCACTACTAACACCAATAAAATGCATATTATTAATATGACCCTAGCACTTCTGGTGCAAGAGGCATTCTTTCATTTTTATCTCATGTTAAAGTGAAAAAGGATTGGGGATTTTTCAAAATTAATTGCCTCCTGATCGTGTTCCAGACCCAGGTTTCAGAAGTAGTCCTTTGGAGTTATAGCAAAGTAGTGCTTTGGAGTTTTAAAAGTTGAGTATTTCAAAAACCATTATTCTGAGATAGTTAGGAACAGAACAAATGGTTCTCTAATCACACAATGACAGAGACAGATCTCTAACTGCAAAGTTCTATAGATAAATTATAAAACAGATAATCTTGCACCTTAATACTTTAAGATGGAAGCTGGAATGTACAACGTATTATAATATTTTTCATTTCACTATTCAATATTTTTAATAGGTTCCCAGAGGGCAACAAAAAGCAATTCATAACCATAGGGGTGTGGTACACTTAAATTACTCTTGACTGTAATTTATTTACTTACTTAAAGGTAAAGGTTTCCCCTTGACGTTATGTCCAGTCATGCCTGACTCTAGGGGGCGGTGCTCATCTCCGTTTCCTAGCCGAGGGAGCCAGCGTTTGTCCGCAGACAGTCTCCGTGGTCATGTGGCCAGCATGACTAAACACCGAAGTGCACGGAACGCTGTTACCTTACTTAATAACTAAATACTCAATAGTGCCCACACTTGCTACAACTAATTAAAATACATTCTTGATTAAAAATTCTGGAAGAATAAAAAGGGTTGGGCCTGGCACCGAAAGGGATGAAGCATTGGTACCAGGCACTCCTCTCTAGGGAGTGAGTTCCTATAAGCAGGGCATTATTACAGAGAAGGCCTTGCTCCTCATTTCTCTCAATGAGGGCTCTCAGAGAAGGATATCCTTGCCATAGATCTTAGGGTCTGGGCAGGCTTGTTAGAAAGGAGATGTTCCCTTAGATAACCAGACCCTAAACTGTTTAGGGCTTTCTATGCTATTGCAGATATCTTAAATCAGGCCCAGACTTAAACTGGTAGCAGTGTAGCTTATAAAGGACCAGTGTGATGTGTTCTCGTCCACCAGTTCCTGTCAGTTGTCTGACAGCTCTATTCTGAACCAACTGCAATGTCTGGATTGTCTCCCCCCTCAACCAACCAGCACAATCATGGCCATCTCTCCTCCCCCCGCCCCGAGTGGGGAGATGGCTGCGATCTTAGTCACCACCCAAAGCGGAGTTCGTGACCCAAGTCAAAATTTTCATGAAATTTTTGTTCGTGACCCAAGGCGTTCGTGACTCAAGGTACCACTGTACTGGCTGTCATCCAACCCATTACCTCAGCCAGGCACTGGTTAAGGATGACCACTGCCTCACCTGGACTAGATGTAAAAGAGAGGTAGAGCTGGGTAACATAAGCGTACTGATGACTCCTTAGCCCAAACTTCCAGATGACCTCTCCCAGCGGTTTCATATAGATATTGAACAGCATAGGGAATAAAATGGAACCATGCAGAACCCCACAGCATAGCTGCCATGCCACAGAGTCACAATCCCCCAGTGGAATTGGCTAGAGAGGTGGGAGCAGAACCACTGCCGAGAAGTGCCTCCTACCCCCAATCCAGCCAGCCTATCCTGAAGGATACCATGGTTGATGGTATCAAAAGCCACTGAGAGGGTCAGGAGAACTAACAGGGATGCACTCCCCCTCCCTCCGTTGCTCTCTTGGCAAAGGTCATCCCATAGGGCAAACAAGGCAGTTTCTGTCCCATAACTGGGCCTAAAACCAGATTGAAATGGGTCTAGATGGTCAGTTTCCTCCAAGAGCACCTGAAGTTGCCCAGCCACCACCCTCTCAAGCACCTTGCCCAAAAAAAGAATGTTAGCCAGTGGTCTATAGTTGGTGACATCCTCTGGATCCAGGGTTGCCTACTTCAGCAGTGGCCTGATCACTACCTCCTGGCCCTCCCTCAGAGAAGCAGTGATGACCTCCTGGATCCATGGTCACATCACTTCCCTGGCTTTGGTAATCAACCAGGAAGAGCAAAAATCGAGTACACAGGTGGGAGGACGAACTTGTCCAAGCACCTTGTCCACATTCTTAGGCTGCAATAATTGAAACTCATCCAAGAACACTACATAATATGGCACAATGGACATCTTCCATATAGGACTAACTCCAACTGTGGAGTCCAATTTGTGGTGAATCGGAACAATTTTATCTTCAAAGCATTATGCAAATTCATCACTGTGGGCTACTGAGGGATCAACAGGGTCTACCCTTGAGCCAGATCACACAAGGCTGTTAACCACTTGAAACAGCTACACCAGATGATTCAGTGCTGGTGGAAAACATCTCTTCCTTGCCTCCTTCACTGCCACAATGTAGGCTCAATAATGAGCTCTTGTGTTGGATCAGATTCAGCACGGGTTTTCCTCCACCTGTGCTCTAGCTATCTTCTAGCTTGTTTTGTCGCTCTCAGCTCAGGAATACACCAAGGCACTGCATGAGCTCTGCAAGTGCGGAGAGGGTGTTTAGGTGCAATCATGTTGATTGCCTGGGTCACTTCCTTATAGAGCAACCTGGGTTTCAACAAGAGCACCAGGCATGTTAGCTGAAAATTCCCCCACAGACCTCAGGAATCCATCAGGATCAATCTGGCTCTAAAGGCATGCCATTTTAACAGGTCCCCCACCCTTGCAGAGCAGGAAAAAAGCCAAAAGTCTAAATCTGATGAGGAAGTGATCTGACCATGACAAAAGGATAGCTCTCACTGAGTTAATTCTCTCACTTCAGTTCTTCTGAAATGGGTGACTGCATGGATGGGAACTGAGGTTCTGGCAGGAAAGGTAAAAACAGAGGCACAGGTACAAAAAGAGTTCCATATTGGACAACATGGGAAACAATACATGATCTGCTAGAAAATCTTTCATGACAGCTGTTTGGAGAGGGGAAATACCATTTGTAAAGGGACGGACGTCATTGGTGCATGTAGCATGAAGTGCTTGTGAGAGGCAATATGGATGTAGACAAAATTGGCTGTGGCAGAAGTCACATTCCCATGATACTCCTTCCTCCATAGTTCTTACAGCAATTTCAAGAGCAATCTAAATGCTCTTTAGCACAGTATGATATAATCATTGCAATTTCCAGCAGCTGCTACTTGATGGTTGAAAAAATCTGATTTCCCAGCAATGAATGCATTAGCTGTTGGAAAAGTTGGTTTCCACCATGTACATGGTACACATCTATTCTGCACTCCTAGCGTAAGTGAGGAGTGAAGTGGAAAGAATAAAGTACCAGCATAAAAACAAATCTGGAATGTATATGCAATGCTGCTAACACTGCCACACTATTATTTCTATCTACATATCAACATATTAGAGCAACTTTAATTAGAAAAGAAATATCAGCCGATATTACTTTGGAGATAAATGTAGCCATTAGAAAGAACAAATATTACAATAACCTGATCCTGAATGAAATGTCTTGCCATAAAGGTAGCAACAGGCAAGAGAAATCCTAGTAATGTAG